AGGGGCGGGGCCCAATAGGGGAAATAGAGGATTTTTTTTCTCCTGCTATACAAGTGAAGGGATTTTAACCAAATGCAGTCTGAAGCATGATTAGGGACAAAAGAATCAATTTTGTATAAACTGAGGTGTGTGGGCCTCCTTCTAAGGGCAGATGGGTGGGGCCCATTAGGGGAAATAGAGGAAAACATCAAATATCCTTCTCCTTTTGTACCGATGAAGGGATTTTGACCAAATTTGGTCTGGAGCATCATTGGCCAAAGGGTTCTCAGTTTTGTATGAACGGAGGGTATGGTCCCCCTGGGGGCAGAGGGACGGGGCCAAATAGGGGAAAATAGGTAAATCTTTAAAAATCTTCTCCTCAACCAATTGAAGGATTTTGACCAAATTTGTCCTAGAGCATCTTTGGACAAAGGAGACTCAAGTTTGTATAAACGGAGGGTGTGGGCCTTCTGGCGGCATAGGAGCGGGGCCCAATAGGGGAAATAGAGGATTTTTTTTCTCCTACTATACAAGTGAAGGGATTTAAACCAAATGCAGTCTGAAGCATGCTTAGGGAGAAAAGAATCAATTTTGTTTAAACTGAGGTGTGTGGATTCCCCTTCTTTGGGGCAGATTAGTGGGGCCCATTAGGGGAAATAGAGGAAAACATTAAAGATCCTTCTCCTTCTGTACCGTTGAAGGGATTTTAACCTAACCAAACTTGTTTTAGAGAATCTTTGGGCAAAGGGAATTGAATATTTATAAATGGAAGATGCAACTTTGTTACTTGTACTCCTTTGATAAACCTGAATGGTACTCAGCAGGTTTTAAATTGAAAAATAAAATACCAGGTGAGCTATTAAGGCCCCTGGGCCTCTTGTTTATAAACAAATTAGGATGTACAATGTCCTCGTTTACCTGATAGGGTTACAGAAATAACCCGGAGTGGATTGTTCCAGGTCAATAACATTGAGTTGAGTTAAGATAACATTTGCAATAAACATAGTTAAGATAACATTTGCAATAAACATACCGTCACATCGTTGTAATGAACTGTATCTGTTATGTTGATACCTTATTTCTTTGAGCAGTCTTCCTGGAAACTATAGAGAGGATTTACTTTAAAACCAACATACAATCTGGTATTGTATACTTGAATACATGTATTAGTAACTTGACAAGAATTAAGAGCGTTTTATGTAGAAATAAACTGGGAAAAGACATTGAAGATAAAAAAAAGTTATCACACATATGAATGTTCTTGTAGCTGTTGATCATTATCAATATCGCTATACCAAAGGAAGAGCACCATTTTCAGATTTTAATGAATTGTAAAGCTAGACAAGACCAATAGTTTCTTGATATGAAAATGAGGGAAGCTACAGTGATGTGTGTATTGTGTGTGATATAGTTGGTACAAAGGCAGGTTTCCTACCACTACAACAGCAATATATATTGATTATCCTACAATGTTAGTTAGTGACTGTACTTGTCTGTCTAGATCTGAACACAAAGCCACTCAAAGCTTGAGCTGTTAGAAACAGACTGATAACTAATCTCTTCTCTCTCTGAGAAGTGTACATTTTCAAATGTACACGTTAATACCATATTTCTTCTGCTGAAAGCTCTCTTCAAGACTGTCTGGGAATTTAAATTCATGTTTTAAAGATAGATTGCCTATCATTTTCATCAATATTTCACTAGAGTGAGAAAATGTCTAGATAAAGCTTCTAAGTTATGTTTCCAGACTTAAAAGAAGTTCTGAACTTTCTCTTAATGAAATTGCTAGAACATGTATTTGATATATCCAATTTAGTATCATTATGTAGCTACATTTCAATGTACAGTCTACAATTTACATGATTATACATATTAGTGTTGGGGCACGGTAAAAGCTCCTGCTGAGAACCTGTGGATTTAAAAGTTTGTTTGTCCGAAATATACTACCCAGAGAAACTGAAATTAAGAAACAAAAACGCAAAGCTGGCTTTATATTTAGCTTCTAATTACAGCTCATCATCAAGTTGTAAATTTGAAGCTGTCAAAAGCAGTGAGGTTGCTTCATAAAGAACCGTACTGTTTGTTTGCTATATATAGGGTTTTATAATGCATAACAATATATATTGAATGACAAATAATAAAATTCAATAGGAACCTATATAAATAAGGAGGATTCCAAACTTACACATGTTTATAACTACTAGTTTCATGGTATATTTAACTAAAAGAACTTTTGAGTTGTGGGAGTTAGTTTCTGGGATAGCAAATGACATTTCTGATCACTTGCAGTCATTTATAGAATTCCTCTTTTGGTTGGTAAATTAATACTCTATTGAACAAAAATGTTAGTCTCCGTCAATATTTAATTGAAAAGGTATTGTACCTACAATGTATTTCTGTATGTAAAAACAAAAGACCTTGTCGTGTAAGACTGTTATTTCAATCACATTGTGTTATATAAATCTGCTTATTATGATAAAGTATACATTAAGTCTGACTCATATGACTATAGATTATCACTTCTGTTTTGCAGGAACTGAATTAGGAAATTGCTTTGTGTCAGTTGGAAACAATTTTACCATGTCTGGAGAAGAACAAATTGAGGTAATGGACCTGCACATCTAATGTCAAGCTGAACTTTCTATTGAAATGGCTTTTTCAGATTAATGTTGCCTTCAAATGTATAGTTCCCAATGATGCTTGATCTGGGCTGAAAGGGCCAAGTGAGCTTATGGCATGGTCCGTCGTCCGGTGCCAATATTTTACTTTAAACAACTTCTTAATAACCGCAAGGCCTAGGGTGATGATATTTGGCCAGAAGCAAACTGGGATGAAGGGCTACCAAGTTTGTTCAAATGAATGACCTTCACTCATATTCAAGGTCACCGGGGTCAATTGTCTTAAACAAATTTAAACAACTTCTTCTGAATAACTTAAAGGTCCAATACAGTGATATTTGGCCAGAATCATGCTGGGATGAAGGGCTACCAAGTTGGTTAAAATAAATGACCTTGACCTATATTCAAGGTCACAGGGGTCAAATAAGTTAAAAACTTTAAACAACTTCTTCTGAATAACTTAAAGGTCCAATACAGTGATATTTGGCCAGAATCATGCTGGGATGAAGGGCTACCAAGTTTGTTAAAATAAATGACCTTCACCGATACTCAAGGTCACAGGGTTCAAAAATGTTAAAAACTTTAAAAAAAACTTCTTCTCAATAACCAAAAGGTCCAGGGTACTGATATTGGGCCTGTAGCATGCTGGGATGAAGGGCTTCCAAATTTGTTCAAATGAATGACCTTGACCCACTTTCAAGGTCACTGGGGTCAGATGTCTTAAAATCTTCAAATGACTTCTACTTAATAACCAAAAGGCCCAGGGAACTGATATTGGGCCTATAGTATGCTGGGATGAAGGGCTACCAAGTTCGTTCAAATGAATGGCCTTGACCCACTATCAATGTCACAGGGGTCAAATGTCGTAAAATCTTCAAACCACTTCTCAATAACCAAAAGGCCCAGGGTACTGATATTGGGCCTGTAGCATGCTGGGATGAAGGGCCACCAAGTTTGTTGAAATGAATGACCTTGACACACTTTAAACCTAATGTCCTTGTTCGACATTCAAGGTCATGTGTTTAAATCTTTTAATAGGTTCTTACGAATGTTTAACACTTTTAAACAACTTCTTCTGAATAACCGAAATGCCCAGGGTGATGATATTCGGCCAGTAGCATGCTGGGATGAAGGGCTACCAAGTTTGTTCAAATGAATGACCTTGACACACTTTAAACCTAATGTCCTTGTTCGACATTCAAGGTCATGTGTTTAAATCTTTTAATAGGTTCTTACGAAATAACATTGATATTCTGCCTGTAGCTGTAATTTAGTCCACTTTTAAGATTACAAGTGTGAGATTAATACCAGGTGAGCGATGCAGGCCCATTGGGCCTCTTGTTTTCATGAAAAATAAGTTTTATACCTGGTCAATATACTGGTCAATTTGTGTGATGTACTCTTTTATCATTAACAGAATTACCTTAATATATGCTCATATGAAAATAATTTTAGTTAATTTAACATGATTGATTTTTGTAAATCTATGGAATTGGACTGTTCACATATTGATAAGAAAAATGAAGTTCTTTAATGAAAATGAAAGACTTAAATATGATAACAATTTACATTGAACAATGTAACTGGTATATGACAAAATTTCCCCGTTTACTGTGGTTAAAATATTTATTTAATATATGGAGGTTGTTAACACGCCTGTTTGATCTTACAGTGTCCACTATGTATGGAACCTTTGGAAATTGACGACATCAATTTCTTTCCGTGTACATGTGGATACCAGGTGAGTACAAATAACAGTTAAAGACAAAATTTTAACATAGTTTGATTTGATTTGCAAAAGGTCACGAGTTCAAGTCTGTTTTAAGAGTTTTAAGAACTTTGAAAAGGCCACAAAAACAGATGAGTGTCTTTAAGTATCTTGTGTAACTTGTTCACTTTTCGAACCGTTGTAATAAAAGAAACGTTATTAGACAGAAACATGTCCATTTCTACATTGAAATCGATAACTATTATTTTATTGTAGTGTCACACACTCAGTAAAATCAAAACATAAAATACTGAATGCCCAGCCTATATTTCACATTTTACTAAAAACATGTACAATATTATACTGAAAATTACACAATCCATATTCATAAAAGTCATCTTATATAGGTGTTATACAAAAACTATGGTATAGTTCATTACATATATACACATAGTCAATAAGACTGATAAAAGTAGTTATGCATATTTGAAGTATATAAAACTTTTGCCTACTAAAACCTATAGAAAGTGTCTCTCATCGTCCACTTCACCGGTATTGCAGAGTTTACATGTTCGTTCCTCTTTAGGTGTTGGCGGCCTGGAGAACACCAATGCAAACCCTAAAGTTCATACTGTTGTTTATTAATGTTTCAGATTTGTAGATTCTGTTGGCATAGAATCAGAACAGACGAAAATGGATTGTGTCCTGCTTGCAGAAAGGTACGACTAGAAAAATTGTTAAGTGTGTTTTTTGTCACATTTGACATTTTGTTCCCTACAACAAAGTCAAAGCATCTTATTATGCTTACATAGCACTGCTTACAATTTACAAAAGGATTAGGTGGTTAACCTCTATTGAAATACTAAATCCAAGATAGTGCTGAATTGTTTTTTTCTATACAGAGAAATATAGAGGTGAAGAAGTCAGGCTTTGAAATGGTAACAAGATGTCATATTTTTACATCTGACGACTGTTCTTTTATATATTTCTCAGCAATATCCAGAGGATCCAGCAGTGTTCAGGCCCCTCACAGATGATGAGTAAGCATGAATAAGTTCCCAGGTATTAGTGACTGGATAAACATAGCTTTGATTTAGTTCAGAATTCAGTCCCCATAATAACTGTTGAGATTTATAATTTTTTCCCTAAATTTGAAATAATCTAAATAAATGGAGCCAGATTTTGTCATCAAATATACAGACAGGAAAAACCCTGGCACTCTTGTTCCTCATTAATCCAGTCACTATTTGTTGGGAAGAAGAGTTAGTAACTTTATTGTTTCTTTGATTTTAACATTAACTCAAGACTTCAGTGATTAAGGTGGCTCCACACATCGTCATCAGCGTCCATTTTCGTGACGTACTTCTGGAAAAAGTACAGCTCGGACTCAATTATCTTGATCGAAATGTGCATGTACACCGTGTCGTTATTTCCGTATTGCGTATCGGGCATTCAATATCGTAGTGCAAATTATAGTTACACCTGGGCCGTTTTCGTTTAAATGGTCAAACCGATCGGACCACTGTTGTTCGTTCATTAGCTTATGCCGTGGCGCGGCGTCCGTCCGGCGTCAATATTTTACTTTAAACGACTTCTTATTAATAACCGAAAGGCCTAGGGTGTCGATATTTGGCCAGAAGCAAACTTGGATGAAGGGCTACAAAGTTTGTTAAAATTAATGACCTTCACCTATTTTCAAGGTCATAGGGGTCAAATATGTGAATAACAACTTCTGAATAACCAAAATGCACAGGGTGATGATATTTGGCCAAAAGCATGCTGAGATGAAGGGCTACCAAGTTTGTTCAAATGCATGACCTTCACCCATATTCAAGGTCACAGGGGTCAAATATGTTAAAATCTTGACAACTTCTTCTGAATAACCAAAATGCCCAGGGTGATGTTATTCAGTCAGTAGCATACTAGGATTAAGGGCTACCAAGTTTGTTTCAATGGATGACCTTGAATCATATTCAAGGTCACACGGAGCAAATATGTTCAAAATATTTAAGCAACTTGTTCTGAATAACCAAAAGGCTCAGTATGTTGATATTAAGTCAGTAGTATGCTGGGATCAAGGACTACTATGTTTGTTAAAGTGAATGACTTTGACTTATATTCAAGGTCTTTAAACGACCTCTTCTGAATAATCATGGGTCCCAGGATGTTGATACTTTGCAAGTTGCATACTGAGATGAAAGGCTATAAAATTTGTTCAACAAAATGACTTTGTTCGACTTTCAATCACAGGGGTGAAATGTTTTTTAAAAAAAATAACAGGTTCTTTTGAATGAATTTTAATCATGAATACTGATTTTTGCCTGTAACTTTATTTTAGATCACTTTTAAGGTTACAAGTGTGAGATTTATACCAGGTGCGCGATGCTGGCCCATTGGGCCTCTTGTTAAATATGGTCGGACCTAGTAACCTGATGCTGCTTTCAGGTGAGCCTTGCAAGGCCTGCATACACATTTGCAGGTCTGCCAGGATTTATACCCGAAATTGTTACATTTATAAACGGTCGAACCGGTTGTTCCGCATAAACGAACAGGCCCCAGCTGGTAAACAATAGTACACGTGCGTGCCGACGATATGTCAACACCCGATATCGAGATTTTACCGGGAAATATATAATCACACGTCCTTCAGGAATAAAGCTTTCCAATTCATTGACATAAACAGACTCACAGGAAGACAGGGACATGAGACCAGACGACCTCAAGAAGGTCATATAGGAAACACGTGGAATGCGGACGTACCGACCTCACATGTGCATATCACGTGCTTACACGAGTTCATAAGCTCGAGGTCGTTACGATTTTCGCTGTTGAGGGAGTTTCGCTCTGTCGTTTAAATCGTGTTTACAAATGTAGTCTACTTACTCTGTGAAAATAATGTTTTGTAAAATATCAAGATACCTATGAAATACATGTGTGAATGCATGTGAGAACGGCATACCATGCGATAGCCTCTGGTCACATATGTACCTGACATGTAATTATAAATATACCGTAAGTTAGCGGACTGTGGAATGATGTCCAAAGTGTACATGACTGACAGTAATTTGGTTCCATTAAAGAACAATAAATTGATAATTTTGATATCATATTTTTGATTTATTTCCATCATTTTTGTTATATGTAAACAGAGACAACTGTCATTGTGTAAATTTCATCCCTCTGCAAAAAGTTCCGGTTGTTTCAAGGAAGATAACTCTCACCCGGATCAAAGTGATTGTAAAATGTAAAATAAATAAATTATAAAGTCATTGTGAATATTTTGTTCAATTTCCCACTCTATATGTATAGATCTTTGTGTCCTGTTTGCTTTTAGATTGTAGATAATCACTTTTATCCATACAAATTCAATAAAAAAAACACTTAGTGTAACATGTGTTACATATTTTGCGATAAATAAAATACTTGTAGGGTTAATTAGAAATGCTTCTTTTCCTTTTTTTTATTGTTGTTATTGTTCCGAACAATGCCACACACAAAAAAAACCCGGAAAATATTAAAATTGACGAAAATTAAATTTTTGGTATTTTTTCCGAAAAAGTCCGCAAACTATCGGAATGTTTAGATTTTCATAAAATCAACTCTACATAGTTGCATAACCATTATAAGAAAGTTTTAACGAATTTTGCTGGTTAATTGCGAAAGTGTGGAGCCACCTTAAATGATTAAGGAAAAAAGAAACTAGATAGTCAAGAATTTCTTGCCTACATGAAAATGGCGGTAATTCAAAACAAAAACCAGATACACCAAATACTAAAACAAAAACCAGATACACAAAATACTGAAACAAAAACCAGATACACGAAATACTGAAACAAAAATCAGATACACCAAATACTAAAACAAAAACCAGATACACCAAATACTCAATATCTGATATGTTTAATACTCAGAGACAACCATCTGTAGAATCCTATCTCACTTGTCTCAATACAATTAAAAAGATTGATACAATGTGTTTCAACTTGTGATCATTGTGGGCATCAAACACGATGAATTTTAAATATCTGATGTCTCCTGACACAATTCATAAGAAAATCTCTCTTTCAATACGCTACAGGCATAATATTTGTCCATGGTGTGTCATTTTGATGCAAGCTGATATCAGACACAAATCGTCAGAAATTGCTGCCATATCCAACCTGTGTTTCGATTTTTGATGATTGATATAATCTTTCCCCACCTTGGACTAAGGCAGAAAAATCTCAACCAAAGGGGCAAGATTCTTAAATGTCGAGCTTGTGGCTCTGCCGAGGGCCAGACATTTTATAGTCTTACCCCTGAGAGGTTGAGATTTTTCGGTGTGGGATTATTATTTTTGCATGATGTCAAATGCAAATTACTATTGTTGATGTGATGTCATGCATTTGTTAACACAGGGGAATTTCCCCGTCTTTACCCTAGGGTAAGACAGATATCTTTCCCTGACCGGATTGTGGATATCTCTATGTTATGGGGGAGAAAGTTATCTCTAGCCCTCATTAGTCTGTTTCTGCCAGTGTTTACCCTAGGGTAAGACGGATATCTTTCCCTGACCTGAAGTGTGGATATCTCTATGTTATGGGGGAGAAAGTTATCTCTAATCCTCATTAGTCTGTTTCTGCCAGGGGTGACCCTAGGGTAAGACGGATATTTTTACCTGACCGGAAGTGTGGATATCTCTTTGTTATGGGGGAGAAAGTTATCTCTTATCCTCATTAGTCTGTTTCTGCCAGGGGTGACCCTAGGGTAAGACGGATATTTTTACCTGACCGGAAGTGTGGATATCTCTGAGTTATGGGGGAGAAAGTTATCTCTTATCCTCATTAGTCTGTTTCTGCCAGGGGTGACCCTAGGGTAAGACGGATATTTTTACCTGACCGGAAGTGTGGATATCTCTGTGTTATGGGGGAGAAAGTTATCTCTAATCCTCATTAGTCGGTTTCTGCCAGTGTTTACCCTAGGGTAAGACGGATATCTTTTCCTGACCGGAAGTGTGGATATCTCTGTGTTATGGGGGAGAAAGTTATCGCTAACCCTCATCATTAGTCTGTTTCTGCCATTGTTTACCCTAGGGTAAGACGGATCTTTCCCTGACCGGAAGTGTGGATATCTCTGTTATTTGGTAGAAAGTTATCTCTTACCCTCATTAGTCTGTTTCTGCCAGTGTTTACCATCTCTTTGTACTGTTACATAAGAGATGGTGTTTTTTTTTGACATTCATGGTATGTATTTTTATAAGATACTGATTTTATTTAAATTAATTGTTCATTTAGGCATGATCTCATAGAATGTTCTCAATATAGACTGCAAAGAATCAAAAAAGAAAGAAAGCAGAAAGACCTCCAGAGGAAACAAAAAGCAGCGGAAAACAGAAAACATTTAGCAAATGTCAGGTGAGTCATTTACTGCCCAAACAGTGTAAAAGTCATTCTGATTTTACATCTACATGTGTTTACATCTTTTGTAAGAGTTGAAATAAACTATTTTGGATACATAACTCTACTTTTTGATATCCAAATAATAAAAGTTTTGTACTATATGACTTTATTCAACAGTGTTCCATTGTATCTTTTTCCATTGCTGACACAGTGAAAACAATTCTGGAATTTCATTCTTGATAAGTGTAAACTTCATCCTCTCTTAAATCACCTAAACATTACATTTAAAACTGATGGTAATTACCCAAACGTTTTGATGTGATATGAACTATGACCATTGTGTTTGTCCATTTCAGAGTTGTTCAAAGGAACCTTGTATTTGTTGTTGGTCTTTCCAAAAAATTAGCAGAACCAGAGGTGTTAAAAAAGCATGAATATTTTGGAAAATTTGGGAAAATTCATAAAGTTGTCATCAATCAAAGTACTTCCTATGCTGGAGCACAGGTAATGTTGAAGTCATAAAGCACTCAATTAATGTATATCTGATTTATTTAAATCAAGTACAATAATTGCATGTGATTTGAGCTCATTGACAAGTTAAATTACCATTTTTGTCACGTGACGCATCGGTTTGATAGCAAAACTTTTCCCAAAACATATATCATTTTCTCGCTACAATCGTGATGTTCTTGGGTCACCAGTGATTATCCAGATCAGGCCTTCAGGCCAAATCAAACGTTAATCAGCTTCTCAAGCCAGGTCTTTTAATGTGAGCATCGCAGAGAAAGTCGTTTCTTATTTTTGTCCTACCTGAAATTATCTGTAGACATTTTATACTAGCACTGCATGCCAGCTGGAAGTTAGGAGCCTGTCAAGTGATATAGTTTAATAGTATTACTAGTGCTGGTATAAACATTTCAAACTGATAACTACATATTGATATCACAGCATGTTACAATATTAGCACTACTCATATGAAAATTGCTTCCATCTGAGGCATTTAGTCACCAGTGCACTTGATTGGAATTTGAACTAATTTGAAAAGCACTTGATTGTGGCAGTGATCAAAAGAAATTTGAAAAGCTCTTTAGTGGCAGTGATCAAAAGAAATTTGAAAAGCTCTTTAGTGGCAGTGATTAAAATAGATGTGAAAAGCTCTTTAGCGGTGGTGATCAAAATAAATAAGGTATCTTAATTGTTTTCGATTTTTAACCAATGAAAACATAATATTTTTGCAGGGTCCAAGTGCTAGTGCTTATGTGACATACCATCGTTCTGATGATGCTCTCCGGGCCATCTTAGCTGTGAACAATGTACATGTTGATGGTAGAACGCTGAAAGCTTCATTGGGTACAACTAAATACTGCAGTCATTTTCTTAGGGGTGCACAATGCCCTAAGCAAGTAAGTCAGATTCAGTGATTTGATTTTAAAAAGTTTTCCTATCTATTTTTAAACAACATAAGTTTTAACAACATGTTTACATGACAGTTTATATTTGAATGTATAGACCATTTTAAGCTGACCTGGCCCGAAGGGCCAAGTGAGCTTATGCCGTGGTGCGGCGTCCGTCGTTTGGCGTTAATATTTTAATTTGTCGGTGTCTGTGGCATACACATGGGATAAATATTATATGAACAATGAGTAGACATCGTTGTCATAAACTATGAACCACTAAAGTGAGTTTTTCAAGCCGATTTTGTTTTCAGGCGGAATCTGCATCAAAGAATTAGTGCTTCGGAAATAAGAGGTCGCAGTCGGCAAAATCATATCCGATAGAAACAAGGGCCTACCAGGGGCCTCTTATGTTATAGGAGTAGGGGGGGAAATGTGAAATAAAACTTCAAAACATGGTGAGCAATAAACGATTTTTTCGAAAAAAAGATGCACGAGAAATTTGATCGAAGAACATGAAATAGAAACAAAACGATGTGTACCTTTTAAATTCATTAAGAAGTAGTCAAGCACAAGAGAATACAGTGCATTCAATTCTCCCATATTGTGTCATTTAGAATTCAATATATCTGAGATTATTGCAGTATTATGTTTCTAGTCAAATTTTAAAATGTTACAGTTTATTCAGAAATTCTGACAGTGTTTTGTGTTTGAATTTTGTATTTAAAAAAAACAGTTAAAAAGTTTGTCTGTATTTACAATGTAAACATTGGTCAAAAATGTGGTCATTGAAGTGGAAGACTGAACAAATTGTTATTAAAAAAGAGCTTGGAAATTACCAAACTTAGTCTTTCATTTTTAAAGTTGTTCACAAGGTGAAATAATTTTGACCCCCCTATTTTTCTTTTAAAGTAAAAAAAAAAGAAAAAGAATTTCCCTACCTACCTACCCACACCTGAGACTGGTCGGTAGGGTTTGGGCAAACAGAAATATTTTTTAAGTCTGGCCTCATTATTTTTGACATACAGGAAGTAGGTGATGTGTGTAGGTAACTTGGGACTGCACATGTACAAGAAGTATGTCCCAGTCCTGTTTCGCGTTCAAGATTTTTATCCAATAGTACAGGTGAATCCCAGACAGTTTCTCTAAAGAATCAACATAAAAAATGTCAATCAAACATCAAACAAATCTTTCCAAACAATACAAGCAGCTTAATGTCTCGAGACATAGTTCTTGTCATCCTCGATATCCAGGGGTTACGCTCACTTAGGCTCTCTGCACTCCTGCAATATGTCATAGCAAAACTGAAGGCTCAGTGTGCACCACCTTGTTGATGACACAAGAAGACTAGTTTGATCCTTTGATGTACATCAAAATAATCGCGCAGTTGCATAACGGTAAAAATGGACTGACTTTGAAGTGAGGTGTTGCTCCTTTGTAATCTTCAAAGGACAGGTATCAGCCTAGCGATTGGTCGTGGCTTTTTTTACCTGAGACCAATTAAACAGCTAGCTTTGTGCCTTCAATTTTGCTATGACATATTCCAGGTGTGCAGAGAGCGTACATGAGCGTAACCCCTGGATATCGAGGATGAGTTCTTGTTTGATTCTTGATAAATAATAAAATCAATTACTTGTATATCAAAAATGTCATCTTATTTTCCCATCATTGTCCTCACGTAAGACTGAAACAAGGCAGGAGTCTTCACCCTAAAATCACACCTTTTTTTATAGCGTGTGTATCAACATTTAGCTAACATCACTGACCTGCAATGTCTTCTATTGTTCCAAACGAGATTCCTGTGCTCAAGCAACTTGATGTTATTCCATTTCTGGTTAAACCTTTCACTTCCTCATTGCTATACTTTAGCAGCAAATATGACTCCTATAGGTTTTATACCTTTTAAAAAAATGATTTTTTGTTTGAAAGAGTTTTTGAAACTTATCAATGATATGTGGGTTATAGAATGGATATTCAGGTTAAAAAAAGCTGTCAGAAAGAGTTTTTTTGTTGTTTAATTCTTACTTGGTTTAAATATTCCAACATCAATATTTTATGAGAATTGGTTTGATTGTTAGGTTCTTGAAATTTTTTTATTCATTGTTTGGTCTGTTTAATTACAGGATTGCATGTATTTACATGAACTGGGTGAAGAAGCAGCAAGCTTTACAAAAGAAGAAATGCAAGTTGGGTAAGTTAAAATCATCAAATGAAATCTCCTCGTAACATGGCTGTAACAAGTACCTTGATTATATAGGTCAGTATATATACGTACCTGACAGTGTGTACTTGGCTATAGGTTGGTAGTACTTGGCTGTGGACTGGTAGTATAGTTGGGTACCTGGCTATAGTTTGGTTGTATAGTTGGGTACTTGGCTATGGTAGTACTTTGCTATTGGCTGATAGTATAGCAGGGTACTTGGCTATGGGTTGGTTGGCATTAGGTTGGTAGTACTTTGCTATGGGCTGGTAGTATAGTTGGGTACTTGGCTATAGGTTGGTTGTATAGCTGGGTACTTGGCTATAGGTTGGTAGTACTTTGCTATTGGCTGGTAGTATAGCTGGGTACATGGCTATAGGTTTGTAGTACTTTGCTATGGGCTGGTAGCATAGCTGGATATATGGCTATAGGTTTGTAGTACTTTGCTATTGGCTGGTAGTATAGCTGGGTACATGGTTATAGGTTTGTAGTACTTTGCTATGGGCTGGTAGAATAACTGGATACTTGGCTATGGGTTGGAAGTACTTTGCTATTGGCTGGTAGTATAGCTGGGTACTTGGCTATAGGTTGGTTGTCTTTGGGTCGTAGTATAGCTGGGTACATGGCTTTAGGTTTGTAGTACTTTGCTATTGGCTGGTAGTATAGCTGGGTACTTGGCTATAGATTTGTTGCATAGTTGTTTACTTGGCTATAGGTTAGTAGTATAGCTGGGTACATGGCTATAGGCCAGTACCTAGATACTTGGCTATAGGTTGATAGCTGGATATTGTTATTGATGACTCAGTATTTCAATGTGGATTCAGTGTCATTGATGCAGTTTTGTACTATGTAGTTGACAAAGTAGTTTCCTTTCAATGCTGTTTGATATCACAAGTAACAGTAACATTACATGATGTCTCCTCACATTAGTGGTGGGAGGATATTGTTTTTGTGCTGTCGGTCATGCTTCAGTTTTGGAGCAGTAAATATTTGGTATTCTGTTTTGTCAAAAGGAGAGGATGCTTAGGTTTTCTCTGGAGGTCAGTTGGTCAAAGGCACATCATCAGTTACTTAAGTACAATTTTGATTTTCCAACAATGTCCTGCTTTGAGGTTGTAATAATGCCTATATTTTGTATGCAGCTCGTTTTTGAGGAGGGGATGTTTGGAATTGCTTTAGAGATTAGATGGTCAAATAACTTAAAATAGAATGTTGGTGTTTAACACATGTCCTGATCTATAACTGCCATTCTTTAGGTTTATAATGCATATACTTTGTAAAAATTGTGCTAATATTTAATATGCTGTCCTTTCTTTTCAGCAAACATCAAGAGTATGAACAAAAACTGCTTGAAACATTTATGAACTCCCAAAATACTGCAAACAATCATGTGACAGGAACAAGCAATAAAACTATACCAACAAGGTAAGAGGTGCAGGCATTAATCTGTGGATGAATTCACTGTTTGGTGATTCTATTTAGTCCAGTCCAACAATGTAAGAGGTGCAGGCAATAATCTGTGGATGAATTCACTTGTTTGGTGATTCTATTTAGTCCGGTTCAACAAGGTAAAAGGTGCAGGCATTAATCTGTGGACGAATTCACTGTTTGGTGATTCTATTTAGTCCGGTTCAACAAGGTAAAAGGTGCAGGCATTAATCTGTGGACAAATTCCTTGTGATTGATCCTATTTAGTCCGGTCCAACAAGGTAAGATGTGCAGGCATTAATCTGTGGGCGAATTCACTGTTGAGCGATTGTATTTGGTCCGGTCCAACAAGGTAAGAGGTGCAGGCATTAATCTGTGGACGAATTCACTGTTGAGTGGTTCTATTTAGTCCGGTCCAATAAGGTAAGAGGTGCAGGCATTAATCTGTGGACAAATTCACTGTTTGGTGATTCTATTTAGTCCGGTTCAACAAGGTAAGAGGTGCAGGCATTAATCTGTGGACGAATTCACTTGTTTGGTGATTCTATTTAGTCCTATCCAACAAGGTAAGAGGTGCAGGCATAAATCTGTGGACGAATTCACTGTTTGGTGATTCTATTTAGTCCAGTTCAACAAGGTAAAAGGTGCAGGCATTAATCTGTGGACGAACTCACTTGTTTGGTGATTCTATTTAGTCCTATCCAACAAGGTAAGAGGTGCAGGCATTAATCTGTGGACGAATTCACTGTTGAGCAATTCTATTTGGCCTGTCCAACAAGGTAAGAGGTGCAGGCATTAATCTGTGGGTGAATTCACTTGTTTGGTGATTCTATTTAGTCCTATCCAACAAGGTAAGAGGTGTTGGCATTAATCTGTGGACAAATTCACTGTTTGGTGATTCTATTTAGTCTGGTTCAACAAGGTAAAAGGTGCAGGCATTAATCTGTGGACGAATTCACTTGTTTGGTGACTCTATTTAGTCCGGTTCAACAAGGTAAGAGGTGCAGGCATTAATCTGTGGACGAATTCACTTGTTTGGTGATTCTATTTAGTCCTATCCAACAAGGTAAGAGGTGCAGGCATTAATCTGTGGACGAATTCACTGTTTGGTGATTCTATTTAGTCCGGTTCAACAAGGTAAAAGGTGCAGGCATTAATCTGTGGACGAATTCACTTGTTTGGTGATTCTATTTAGTCCTATCCAACATGGTAAGAGGTGCAGACATTAATCTGTGGGCGAATTCACTGTTGAGCGATTCTATTTGGCCTGTCCAACAAGGTAAGAGGTGCAGGCATTAATCTGTGGGCGAATTCACTGTAGAGCGATTCTATTTGGCCCGTCCAACAAGGTAAGAGGTGCAGGCATTAATCTGTGGACGAATTCACTGTTGGGTGATTCTATTTAGTCCGGTTCAACAAGATAAGAGGTGCAGGCATTAATCTGTGGACAAATTCACTTGTTTGGTGATTCTATTTAGTCCTATCCAACAAGGTAAGAGGTGCAGGCTTTAATCTGTGGGCGAATTCACTGTAGAGCGATTCTATTTAGTATGGTCCAACAAGGTAAGAGGTGCAGGCACTAATCTGTGGACGAATTCACTGTTTGGTGATTCTATTTAGTCCTGTTCAACAAGGTAAGAGGTGCAGGCATTAATCTGTGGACGAATTCACTGTTTGGTGATTCTATTTAGTCTGGTTCAACAAGGTAAAAGGTGCAGGCATTAATCTGTGGACAAATTCCTTGTGAGTGATCCTATTTAGTCCGGTCCAACAAGGTAAGATGTGCAGGCATTAATCTGTGGGCGAATTCACTGTTGAGCGATTCTATTTGGTCCGGTCCAACAAGGTAAGAGGTGCTGGCATTAATCTGTGGACGAACTCACTGTTGAGTGGTTCTATTTAGTCTGGTCCAACAAGGTAAGAGGTGCAGGCACTAATCTGTGGCAGAATTCACTGTTTGTGATTCTATTTAGTCCTGTTCAACAAGGTAAGAGGTGCAGGCATTAATCTGTGGGCGAATTCACTGTAGAGCGATTCTATTTAGTCTGGTCCAACAAGGTAAGAGGTGCAGGCACTAATCTATGGCAGAATTCACTGTTTGTGATTCTATTTAGTCCTGTTCAACAAGGTAAGAGGTGCAGGCATTAATCTGTGGACTAATTCACTGTTGAGCGATTCTATTTGGCCTGTCCAACAAGGTAAGAGGTGCAGGCATTAATCTGTGGACGAATTCACTTGTTTGGTGATTCTATTTAGTCCTATCCAACATGGTAAGAGGTGCAGGCTTTAATCTGTGGGCAAATTCACTGTAGAGCGATTCTATTTAGTCTGGTCCAACAAGGTAAGAGGTGCAGGCACTAATCTGTGGACGAATTCACTGTTTGGTGATTCTATTTAATCCGGTTCAACAAGGTAAAAGGTGCAGGCATTAATCTGTGGACGAATTCACTTGTTTGGTGATTCTATTAAATCCTATCCAACAAGGTAAGAGGTGCAGGCATTAATCTGTGGACTAATTCACTGTTGAGCGATTCTATTTGGCCTGTCCAACAAGGTAAGAGGTGCAGGCATTAATCTGTGGGCGAATTCACTGTAGAGCGATTCTATTTAGTCCGGTCCAACAAGGTAAGAGGTGCAGGCATTAATCTGTGGGCGAATTCACTGTAGAGCGATTCTATTTAGTCTGGTCCAACAAGGTAAGAGGTGCAGGCTTTAATGTGTTGGTGAATTCACTGTTTGGTGATTCTATTTAGTCTGATTAAAGAGTTTTGTTGCTGCCTTTCCATCATGTATGTAGAGGTCTGGGATTCTTGAACAATATTATAGTAAATGTATAATACAGTAAAACTCTGTTAAGTCAAGTCCTCAGGACCAATAGAAATTTCTATTATTGCTCTTGATGGTGAATTAACTTGTTTTATTTGTTATTTACTGCTGTCATTATATTGAGAAGATTGTATTATCTAGGTATTATGTTTGGAAGAGATAGGACACATCATCTTATACTTTTGATCTATTTTTTTGAAAGAAAAAAGGCAACATCACCCATCCCGGTAAACCAGACGCCCACTTCAGGGACGCCACCACAACAACAGGTCTCTACATCAGAACAGATTCAACAGCAACAGACACCTCCAAACAACACCCCCCCTCAGCACACACAGCCAATCCCTAACACATCCAACAAAGAAGCCTGGCCGTCACTACAGACAGGGAGATCAGAACAGCGTCTCACCAATGGTAACAGACCCAACCACAACCAACAGAAACCAGATACACAGCCCCTACCCAATCATAACAGAGCCCCAGGCAACCACAAAGCTCGCACAAAGACAGAGGCTGACATAGAAAACAAGTAAGTCAGAACCAGGATGTGTTTCAAACAATTTTCCTTTACAAAGCACTTAAAAATTATAAGTCACATCTCACAGCTGCAAGTGACAGTCTTAACAGAAACTACTTTTAAGCTTTTCAATATTTACAAAATTTTTATGTGTTATTCTAAAATCAATATTGGATAGGCATGCTGACTTAGATATAAATCTCCTGGAATGCAGTAAGATCACTGCACCTCTACCAGAGAATGTTTGTCGCTAGCCGTTCTAATACATGTTTAAAAATAGGACTTTTATCAGTGTATGAACTTTTACTTTTGCAGTGCACTTAACAATACAATAGACAAACCAACAGACACTTCTGCAAAGTCAGACATACCAACAGTATCTCCCCCACAGAGCACATCGTCCCTGGGGACAGGGTCTCCAGTGTCCCTACCCCCAGGCCTGACTACATCAACTCACAGCAAGGCTCCCCTGGGTGCACAACTAACTGCAAGATTGATGGCCAACCCAGGACTGAAGCCTATACTGTTTGACAACCCTGCCCAGAGTCTTTCATTGTTCAGTAATGGCAATGGCTTTCATGGCAAACGATTCCAAAAGTTACCTGTGCCAACAGTGCCAGCAGGTAGGTCCAGTAGGTGTTGAACCAATGCCAAGCTATTACTATATAGCTTGGAAGGTACATATTTATGAGTTGGATGGCACATGCAGGTAACTTTTCAATTCGTTACAATCTAATTAAAATTATATCTTCACATCGCTCCCGTTTACTGATATGTCGCGTTGAAGATCTAACAACATCCCGTAGAGGGTCATGTTCAGGCGACCTTTGCATTAACCAATCAGATGAGAGCTTACGCATTTCTGTAAGTGATGATGTAATGATTTCGGAACACACTTGCTATGATAAAAGACCGAGAGGTGTCAAATGAGCATCGAAAATGGCGGCGCCCATGACACCACGCCGTGTCTATCTACAAGACAACGTTTGTACAATTTGTGGATTTTGCTTTGAAATAAGAGAGACTTCCTCTTCTGGTGATGTTGTCGTTAAAAAGTTTAACAACCTGAAACTAAAATTAACCAATGACAGGCTTCGCAATATTCAAACTATCACTGGACCAGACGAAAAAGTGGATTTTGGGCTACGAGGTGTCTGCATTAAATGCTACAGGTCCTGCTTTCTGATTGGTTGAAAGAAAGAGTTATGTCGCGTTTTGATTGGCTTGTTATAAATACGATAATGCTTTCATGTTGACCTCTGACGTGACCCTCTATGGGATGTTGTTAGATCTTCAACGCGACATATCAGTAAACAGGAGCAATGTGAAGATATAATTTTAATTAGATTGAATTCGTGATTACAAAACAGTTTATTTAAACTGGGATTCAGTATTTTTCACTATTGACCGATATTTATAAACATGAAAAAAATGACTGTCTTGCATTTTACTCAGTGTTTCAGATTTTGTATATGTTTTCTATTTTAAGATCTGGACAGTTTTAAGTTGTATTTTTATGTGAAATATAATCTGTTTGAGACTTACTTACTCAACACCACTACTGATTAGTCATATGTAGGTAACACTTAGCTGTTTCTTTATTTAATGTAAATAAGGTAGAGAGTTCTGCCTTTCTCCTTCTATAAAGTGACATTGAAAAAAAAATTGCTTTGTAAAATTAATGTTATACCAAGACAATTTTAGGTTACTGGCCATTTTGTGGAGTTCAAACATTTTGAAATTGTTTCCAATTATTTCTGCTTTATTATCAAGCGGTACACATGGTAGAGATGTTTTTTGACAAAGAATTTTTACTAAAAGCATATTTCCATTGTATATAACTCTTTTATTAAAGTTACTCCAAATTAGGAAAATGTCAAGTAATGTGGAAGTCTGTGTTGTGTGATACATCACAGAGTGCTGGGACATAACAGCCTATTTGGGGAAAAAATTGTAGGTCAAAGTTGAATGATCATTTGTTGAAATACTTTTCAGAGGTTCCAGAGCCAGTTTCAACCCCAGAAATTGCAGAGTCAATTCAAGTGACAAGCTGTACTGATTGGCAAGCTGCTTTTGGATTTGGACCAAAAACCAGAGACTTGCCAGATGATGATTTAGGTATAATTGCTATAATGATCTATCTTTCATGTTTGTCTTTTGTATAAAAGAAGTGCTACTAAAGAAATGCTATCTCTGTTAATGCAATGTTTGTTTTACAGTATTTTCTCCATCTGTTCAAATTATGCAGTTCCTTTCAAAATAACCTTGAGAAGCACTTCAATCGAAACCACCAATATGTATTTTGATATTGTTTTAGCTACTCCTATGACAGTTGTCTCTTAAAGCTGTTTTACCGACAAATGAAAATTTGGGCCAGTTAAATCAGTGAGCACTATAGACAATCTTTACTGTATATATTAGGCTGTAACATATTTATCCCTTTCAGGTTTTGATCCTTGGGATGAGTCATCTAAAGGTTTGGCAGACTTGCTAGAGAAGGAAAATGGTATCAGCCAAACCCACAGACCAAACTATACAGATCAAAACAATCGCTCCAACCACCAACCCCAAAGTTTGCCACCAGGCTTTTCTTTAAGTCAGCTACAGCAGCAACAACAGCAACAGATGCATCATCCAGCATTTCTTAGACCGGGTCAGTTTAGTATTGTGTTTAAAGGTCACATTTCATTGCTTAAAAAACGTATATAAAATCGCAGGAACTTATTCTTACTATATAGAAAATATTGATTAAGTACCAAGTATAAACTTGAATTTGTTAAGTTATTCATAGATGAATTCAAATGTTATTGCATTCACCATGTTTATTTTTTTGTCAGTAATAATGATTATGATGATATTTGTATCCTATATTTCTTGTCTTGTTTGACCAGATATAGGTAACAATGGAATGCTAGGGTTTATACAGCCAAATATGCCTCCACCAAACTCATACCACAGTATGTTTGATGATGGAAAAGAACAAAATCATGTCAATGCTCCGGTATGTAGGCAAACATATTTATCCAATTTGAAATATTCATTATTCAATACATGGTTTGAAAGAGAAAAATATATAAAATAAATGAAGAAATATTACGCTATATGTCTTTAAACTTAAACTGACAGTTTGTGCTGATTTGTTAGAAAATAATGAAATGTACTGATCCAGTAACAATTCTTCTGAAAAATATTGAAATAGTGGTGCATTTTAGTCCTAAAGATTTACGAAGCCATCTTACAAATTTTATGTAATGTTAAATCATTTTGAACTTAATTGGATTAAAGGAAGGTAAAATGTTCTTAACAGTTACTTTAATTTCTTTTCTTTTTTCAGCGAGATGTGTTCAACACTAAAGATTGGCAAGATGGTCTGCGAGCGTTATTGCCAAATATTAACATCAGTTTTGGTGCGGCACAGCAAGCAAATAACGCAATGTCTGCACACACTTCCTTACAACAGCAACAAAAAAGTAAGTACACAGCACACAGCTACTAATTTAATGTCTACGTTCATCATCTAGCAGTCATTAATGGTCAGACAAGAAATTAATATGGTTTTGTCTTTTCTGTCTGTGAGAACAACATTGTGCAGACAATTCGCTGCAAGAATTGATATTATAACAGTGGTCATATTGCTGTGAACAGTTCTTACTGTTGAAGATTTATTTCATAGCATCATTAGTGTTGAACTATAAACATTGATAACAACATGGAAAATATTTCCAACAGTTTTAATATTAGCCTGGATTTAATTTGAAGCTACAGCATTGGCAGAAACATGTAAATCAGGATAGCATGTATACCGTCATTGATCTACATATCATTGTACAGCATTGACAGAAACATGTAAATCAGGATAGCATATATACCATCATTGATCTACATATCATTGTACAGCATTGACAGAAACATGTAAATCAGGATAGCATATATACCGTCATTGATCTACATATCATTGTACAGCATTGACAGAAACATGTAAATCAGGATAGCATATATACCGTCATTGATCTACATATCATTGTACAGCATTGACAGAAACATGTAAATCAGGATAGCATATATACCGTCATTGATCTACATATCATTGTACAGCATTGACAGAAACATGTAAATCAGGATAGCATATATACCGTCATTGATCTACATATCATTGTACAGCATTGACAGAAACATGTAAATCAGGATAGCATATATACCGTCATTGATCTACATATCATTGTACAGCATTGACAGAAACATGTAAATCAGGATAGCATATATACCGTCATTGATCTACATATCATTGTACAGCATTGACAGAAACATGTAAATCAGGATAGCATATATACCGTCATTGATCTACATATCATTGTACAGCATTGACAGAAACATGTAAATCAGGATAGCATATATACCGTCATTGATCTACATATCATTGTACAGCATTGACAGAAACATGTAAATCAGGATAGCATATATACCGTCATTGATCTACATATCATTGTACAGCATTGACAGAAACATGTAAATCAGGATAGCATATATACCGTCATTGATCTACATATCATTGTACAGCATTGACAGAAACATGTAAATCAGGATAGCATATATACCGTCATTGATCTACATATCATTGTACAGCATTGACAGAAACATGTAAATCAGGATAGCATATATACCGTCATTGATCTACATATCATTGTACAGCATTGACAGAAACATGTAAATCAGGATAGCATATATACCGTCATTGATCTACATATCATTGTACAGCATTGACAGAAACATGTAAATCAGGATAGCATATATACCGTCATTGATCTACATATCATTGTACAGCATTGACAGAAACATGTAAATCAGGATAGCATATATACCGTCATTGATCTACATATCATTGTACAGCATTGACAGAAACATGTAAATCAGGATAGCATATATACCGTCATTGATCTACATATCATTGTACAGCATTGACAGAAACATGTAAATCAGGATAGCATATATACCGTCATTGATCTACATATCATTGTACAGCATTGACAGAAACATGTAAATCAGGATAGCATATATACCGTCATTGATCTACATATCATTGTACAGCATTGACAGAAACATGTAAATCAGGATAGCATATATACCGTCATTGATCTACATATCATTGTACAGCATTGACAGAAACATGTAAATCAGGATAGCATATATACCGTCATTGATCTACATATCATTGTACAGCATTGACAGAAACATGTAAATCAGGATAGCATATATACCGTCATTGATCTACATATCATTGTACAGCATTGACAGAAACATGTAAATCAGGATAGCATATATACCGTCATTGATCTACATATCATTGTACAGCATTGACAGAAACATGTAAATCAGGATAGCATATATACCGTCATTGATCTACATATCATTGTACAGCATTGACAGAAACATGTAAATCAGGATAGCATATATACCGTCATTGATCTACATATCATTGTACAGCATTGACAGAAACATGTAAATCAGGATAGCATGTATACCGTCATTGATCTACATATCATTGTACAGCATTGACAGAAACATGTAAATCAGGATAGCATGTATACCGTCATTGATCTACATATCATTGTACAGCATTGACAGAAACATGTAAATCAGGATAGCATGTATACTGTCACTGATCTTCATATAATTGAATGTATGGATTCCTTATAAAATGAATCTTGCTTAAAATTGACATCACAACACGTGTTGAACATTTTCCAGGCTCAGCGTTATCGTCAGACAGTCCACCCCACTGGTTAAAGTCTATTCACCAGCTCACAGACATAGAGGGAAGCCACACTAACAGCCAAAATCACAGACTACCTTTTGTGCAACAGTTCCCCCTCAGAAGTAAGCTGAAGAAAAGCAGTATTTTACCCGGACATCAATATCAATTCCCTCTTGAAAGTCACTAGAAATATGAAATATTCTGAAATTTCTGAAATATGCATGGATTTTTGAAGTACTTTTTTTTTTAACGCAAATAACTGATAGGGTATGTATAGTACCCAATGTTGACTCGGATATCGAGTGATCTGCCCATGCTGGATACATGTTTCCTAGCTTGAAAGTACTTGTGTACTTTGATGGATTTGATAGGGGAAGGTGATATCAATTTCATGAACTTGATACATTTCTACATTTGAATGATATAGTTCAGCAGGCTAATACTTTTGAATAATTGAAATTATTTGGATACTTCAATACATGCACTTATTGCACCAACATTTTTGTTCATAATCAGTTTTATGATAAAAACCATATATTTAAAAAAAACTGCAAATTTGTGCAGTCATAATTTAGTGCAATACTTCAAACCTAAATAACCCTTAAAAAAAAGGATGACCATAAAAATATGTTAACAATTTTTAAAAAGATATTTGTAAACGAATCTTTATTTAAAAAAAAAGAATTTATAAAGCTCTGCTGCAACAGCCTTGACTTTGTATATTGTTGACTTTTCCAGACACAGGCTGGCCCACACAGACACAGACCCCTCCCCCGGGCTTTCAGACATCCATCAGACCTCCCACACATCCCACAGAACCTCACAAAATCTCGGAAGGCAAGTCATACAAATGTTTCCCCGTGCCAAATAGTTATCTCTATCAATTATCAATGAGTGAGTAAATTGGATAATTTTGAAAGTAAATCAAACAAATGATATTGGAAACTTTCTTGAAAATTTGTTGTGCCAACCAATATCTTTTCCCTTTTAACTGTTACTGCATGAGTTTCTTAAAATTAATCAAACATTAATATGTGCCCTGATAAAAGATGGGAACAAGTTAAAGGACTTTGGTACAAGTCAGTATTGTATAAATGCCCTGATGATTGATGGGAACAGTTATAGAACTTGAGAACAAGTCAGTATTGTATGAATGCCCTGATGATTGACAGGAACAGTTATAGGACTTGAGAACAAGTCAGTATTGTATATATGCCCTGATGATTGACGGGAACAGTTATAAGACTTTGGTACAAGTCAGTATTGTATAAATGCCCTGATGATTGATGGGAACAGTTATAGGACGTTGGTACAAGTCAGTAGGAATATTTTACAGTCTTCTGTGCAAAGTCTTTAAAAATAATGAAAATTTGTGTTGCTGCTTGTAATGTTAAGTTGATTTCTCTTTGCAGGTTTACAGTAGCTTTAATCACCTACGACAGACAGAAGACAAAGATGTTTTTTTTTCTTTCTACAAAGTCAACCCTCATAGCTTATCTTCTACCCCAATGGCAACTTGATTTATGATGGGCAGGCAGGAACTAATGGCATAACTTAAACCAAAACACTGGTTACCCTTACATGTCTATTTATTTTGTGATGTTGGAAATCTTTGTGTATTCAAACAGTTTTTTTTCTAGTTTTTATCATCCCCAAATGTCCATTGTGAAATTTTCCTTTAAATATTCAGCTATGAAGTCTGACAAAGGATGGGTTTGTTCAGAACTATTTACACCCTTTGAAAGAAGAAGAAAATGTGTGCTACAACATTGGGATTTATTACATTTAATCGGTATATAAAACCATCTGTATATATACCCTTGAAAAAAACGTTTTATCCAATATGTTGAACATTTGAACGGTAGGGAATAGCAGTATCCGAGTATTTCTCGAGATTGGTTGATAAGTTCTATAGATTACTTACATTTCCTGCAGACTTATTATGTGAAGTGACCTTTCAATACTGATTATCGTTTAATGCAGGGTGTATGATTTGTACTGTATAACAAATAATTGTTTGTGTGATACTTGAAATCGTGATGGATGCTAATTGCGAGTTTATGCAAAGGTAGATATCACAGGAAATGTAAGTAATCTAGATTAGTACTGAAACACAAATCTGTAGTTTGATGTTTTATCCTCAGTGAAATAACAGTAGAAGTGTGTTCAGGTTTACAGAACTAATGGTCCATCCATTACATGTATTATGATTTATATGATGTTCATACTGTCATCAAAGGACTATCTTTATATAAGACTAAGATTAACAAAAATGCATTTATAAAGTGAAGAATTAAAAAAAATCTGTTGATAGATATATTCGCAGTCGGTTAATTCAATCCTTAATTTATTGAAATGCTTAGAACTTTTAGTGGTATGGTAAAGTACAATATACAAACCTTTTACAGAGTTGTGATGAAGTATTTGTGATGCATTAGATATAGGTTGAGTGTGATAACAAGTTTACAAGGCCAGTCATTGGTCATTCTGATAAACAGGAGTAACTACACACAATGAAACAGTTCCTTGCAACAAACTTTACAATCATTTTTTTAGGTCACCTGAGACAAAGTCTCAAGTGACCTATTGCAATCGCCTTTTGTCCGCCGTCCGCCGTCGTGCGTCCGTAAATAATTTACATTTTCGACTTCTTCTCCAAAACCCCTGAACCAATTTCAATGAAATTTTGCAGGGACCTTCCATAGTTTATATAGGGAAATCACATTTTGGACCAACATTTGTTTAATTTCCATTGGAAGTAATTCATTTTGGGTAAGCATTATCAGTATTAGGTAGCAGTTTGAAAGTATGCACATATGAGCCCTGACTGACCCCCAGGGGCTGATGGGTGGGGCCAAAAAGGGTTGAATTGACTGAAATTTCAAAAATCTTCTTCTCAAGACCCAGATATGGTAGAATCAAATACTCTTCATAGATGGAAGGGTCTTAAGGTTTATGACCCTAGGGTCTCACGTTTACCCCCTGGGGAAGGAGTGGGGGGGGGGGGGGGCAAAATTTATTATGGTTTATAATGGCAAATGATACTTTGAATATTACATGTTAATAACTTGATTGGAATTATAACCTTGAGTTGACAGTTTGATACTTTGAAAATTTTGAGCCAGCCCTACCCCCAAGGGCTGTAGGGTGGGGCTCAAAGGAGTCGGTGTGCTAAAATTTCTTCATTTTCCTTGTTTAGAATCAGAGGTGCTATTTTCAAATACTTTTTAGTCTGAAATCTGTATGCTAGATATTGAATAAGGTGGTTTTATTGTTTTTAGCTCACCTGGCCCGAAGGGCCAAGTGAGCTTATGGCATGGTGCATCATCTGTCCGTCTGTCCGTCGTCCGTCCGTTGTCCGGCGTCAATATTTTACTTTGAACAAATTCTTCTTCATAACCGCAAGGCCTAGGGTTATGATATTTGGCCAGTAGCATGCTGGAATGAAGGGCTACCAAGTTTGTTCAAATGAATGACCTTAACTTATATTCAAGGTCACAGGGGTCAAACATGTTCGAAACCTTTATACAACTTGTTCTAAATAACTAAGAGGCCTAGGGTTATGATATTTGGCAAGTTACATGCTGGGATGAAGGTCTACCAAATTTGTTCAAATGAATGACCTTGACAAATAGTCAAGGTCACAATGATGAAATGTGTTTAAAACATTTAAAAAACTTCTTCTCAATAACCACAACTCCTAGGATAATGATATTTTGCCAGTAGCATGCTGGGATGAAGGGCTAGTAAGTTTGTTCAAATAAATGACTGACAAATATTCAAGGGCACAGGGGTCAAATATGTTTAAAACCTTTAAACAACTTTTTCTGAATAACCAAGAGGCCTAGGATGATGATATTTGGCAAGTAGCATGCTGGGATAAAGGTCTACCAAGTTTGTTTAAATGAATGACCTTTACTTATATTCAAGGTCACAGGGGTCAAATATGTTAAAAACCTTTGAACAACTTCTTTTCAATAACCAAAAGGCCTATGATGATTATATTTTGCCAGTAGCATGCTGGAATAAAGGGCTACCAAGTTTGTTCAAATAAATGACTGACAAATATTCAAGGGCACAGGGGTCAAACATGTTTGAAACCTTTATACAACTTCTTCTAAATAACTAAGAGGCCTAGGGTTATGATATTTGGCAAGTAACATGCTGGGATGAAGGGCTACCAAGTTTGTTCAAATGAATGACCTTAACTTATATTCAAGGTCACAGGGGTCCAATATGTTTGAAACCTTTATACAACCTCTTCTTAATAACCAAGAGGCCTAGGGTAATGATATTTGGCAAGTAGCATGCTAGGATGAAGGGCTACCAAGTTTGTTCAAATGAATGACCTTTAAGTATATCCAATGTCACAGGGGTCAAATATGTTAAAAAAAACTTTGAACGACTTCTCAATTAGCAAAAGGCCAAGGGTGATGATATTTGGCCATTAACCGTCTGGGATGAAGGGCTACCAAGTTTGTTAAAATGAATGACCTTTGCCCATATCCAAGGTCACAGTGGTCATATGTTTAAATCTTTTGATAGGTTCTTATGAATCAAACACTGATATTCTGCCTCTAGCTGTATTTTAGTCCACGTTTAAGATTACTAGTGTGAGATTAATACCAGGTGAGCGATTCAGGCCCATTGGGCCTCTTGTTTGTCACTTTGAATTATATTTCTGTTCATGTTAAAAACAAAAACAACTCTCGGTATAAATATATCAGGTGACTGTTGAGGCCCATGGGCCTCTTGTTTTTTTTATATTTTTGTAATTAATAATGATTACAAAAAAAAAAAGGAATTTCTTATGATTTAGAATTTGTTTTGTTTTAAAGAAGGAAATGTTCCGTTTTGCTTTATTTGTCAAAGAAATGGAAATTGTATTACTGTGCACTAAAATGGCAAAAGCAAAAACTTGTAGATGGCTGCTCTGGAATAAAACCGAAAGAAATGATCAGGAAAAAGTTATGGAACAAATATATCCCATGATTGGTTGGTTGTCAATTACCGGTATATCTTATTCTCATTGGTTGATTTTCAAAAGGGAACCTTGTGTCTTTTGTAAATTTTGAAAATTAATTAAGTGAGATATATATATAATTACTGTCTTTGGTTAAGGAACTTCTTTACATTTTACCATGTGTAGTAAAACCTGTTTAACAAAGCCTTCATATCATTTATTTTTAAACTAAAAAAAGTATTTCATTTTATGCTACACATTACCAAGCATGTGTCGTGAATTAACAGGATGATATACATTTATTTGCATTATTAGTGGTTGTGTTTTCCTGCTGCCCATCATGATCAAGTTGTCAGTTGTTTATTAACGATTTAAATCCATTTCAAGGTACAGACACCACACAGGACATACGTACTGGATTTTAATGTCTCTGTAACATTAAAGTTAACTCAGAGGTGTGATGTTTTAAACTACAGAAATATGGGATTAAACTCCCAGAGGTTTTAACTTAAACATATTCTATGGTTTATGATAAATGGTACAGCTTTATCTTTTCAAATAACATAAAATGAGACCATTTACTGTTCATTAAAAACATTTGAACCTGTTGGGTCAGACTTGAGGTTTCAAACAAATGTATTGAAAACGAATATTCTTGATTTTTGAAATTTATAGACTTTTTACGAAATAATAATAAGATAAGAGGCATATGCGATTGTTGGAAGTAATTAAGATGACCCTGTATTTGACTTGGTTCAGTAAGTCCTGCACTGTGTGCCCAGTTTTCCATACCATCATGTTTTCTGTAGGTATAGAATCTTCATCTCATTTCTTCATTAAGCTTGGTCCGTATTCTCCTGGTTACAATACATTGTAAAGCCCACAAGGTTTGTATTTATTTCCAATATTCTGAGGTATGACTTTCCTTCCCTTATACACAGGGTAGCTAGCAAGCTGCCACCATTTATTCTGCAAGACAAATGATATTTATATGCAGACATTTTGTAACAAAAGAAGTTAAGAAATTATTTGAACAGCTTTTTATCACAGGAGTGGGTGATGAGAGCTGATGAGGCGAGGACATGTATGAGGGAGACATAAAAGGCTGTACGTTTTGGGCCCTTGGCGTTATTATTTCCCATATCAAACATGATTTTTAGCTTTACGAGTATGTTATGATTATTACAAGAATACCATAGCTTACCTACACATTGTGCAAGCGTTTGAAATTGTGCAACACCTGCCATCTCCACGTTAAGTAGCTTTCTGAAGAATTGTACAAAACTAAAGAATAGAGGTGGTTCACACGCCAAAAGATGAACAGGCTGACCATTCTTATGCTTGGTACCATTAAAAGTTACAGCCTGCATTGGTCTGACCTTTACATGAGAATAATAAAGTATTACTAAAATATCTCACTTGTGTTGTCTATTTAAAGGTTCACAAAGAATGATCTTGGTGATCAAAATGATTGATTTATAAGTCAAAATTGAAATAGATACTCACTGAAATATGAAAAAACATACGCAAATAAATAATTTGTTTGGAGGTATCTTCCAATTGTAAAATAAGAATATGGGGAATAGCTGGAGATGTAGGTTTAAGTTCAAGAAATTACGTCTAAAAGTACAAATATTTTTCACTGTCCCTGGATGATACTTTAGAGAGTTAACACTGGATGCCATATACCCGCTTTTAGCTCACCTGGCACGAAGTGCCAAGTGAGCTTATGCCGTGACGCAGCGTCCTTCCGTCCGGCTTCAATATTTTACTTTAAATGACTTCTTAATAACCGAAAGGCCTAGGGTGATGATATTTGGCCAGAAGCAAACTGGGATGAAGGGGCTACAAAGTTTGTAAAAATTAATGACCTTCACCCATTTTCAAGGTCACTGGGGTCAAATATGGTAAAAACTTTAAACATCTTCTTCTCGATAATCAAACTGCCCAGGGAGATGATATTTGGCCAGTAGCATGCTTGGGTGAAGGGCTACCAAGTTTGTTCAAATGAATGACCTTCAATTATTAGCTCACCTGGCACAAAGTGCCAAGTGAGCTTATGCCGTGGCGCTCCGTCCGTCCTTCATCCAGCGTCAATATATTACTTTAAATGACTTCTTGATAACCGAAAGGCCTAGGGTGTCGATATTTGGCCAGAAGCAAACTGGGATGAAGGGCTACAAAGTTTGTTAAAATCAATGACCTTCACCCATTTTCAAGGTCACAGGGGTCAAATATGTTAAAAACTTTAAACAACTTATGAATAACCAAAATGCCCAGGGTGATGATATTTAGTCAGTAGATACTAGGATCAAGGGCTACCAAGTTTGTTTAGATGTATGACCTTGAATCATATTCAAGGTCACAGGGGTCAAATTTGTTTAAAATCTTTAAACAACCTCTTCTGAATAACCATGGGTCCCAGTATGTTGATACTTTGCAAGTTGCATCCTGAGATGAATTAAAAAAAATAACGGGGTCTTTTGAATTAATTTTAATCATAAATACTGATATTTTGCCTGTAGCTTTATTTTAGATAACTTTTAAGGTTACAACTGTGAAATTTATACCAGGTGAGCGATGCAGGCCCATTGGGCCTCTTGTATTCAAGATCACAGGGGTCAATTGTCTTAAAAAAAACTTCTGAATAAC